GAGGGTAAGCGGGAAGGAGAAGCTTTGTTTGTGTATGTATAATAACTATAATATAATATAAATGTGTGTGTTCGTTGCGTTGTACAAAGAAGAAAAGAAGTAAGGAAACAAAGGAACAAACAAACAAATGGACAAGAAAACGGGAGGTCAACGAAGGAAGAGGTTAATACTAAAAGATAACTAAAGAGAAATCGAAGAAGAACTGAACTTTTTTATAAAAACTAGAAGACTATATTTCTGTACGCAGTCGCGCAACTACGTCATGTGTGTTCACATTGCATAATCCGATCGATAATAAGAACTCTCTCGTACGTATGCTTATCGTAAGCCACTACTCCTCAACAGTAACATCATCATCATCATCATCGACATCAACCTCAACATCAACAACAACAAGAACAACAATTAGCACTACCTACTGCTATTACTATTACTATACTACTACTACTACTACTACTACTACTACTACTACTAGTACTATTACTACTACTACTACTACTACTACTACTACTAATACTACTACCATTACTAGTACTCTACTACTACCACTACCACTACTACTACTATCATACTACAGCTACAACTACAGCCACAACTATAAACAACAACAACATCCACACGACTCCGAAGTTGAAGATCAACGTCCGACGCGCGATACTCTAGTGCATTTCTATGAATCTAGAAGCATAATTTCTACCCCAATTCAAATTTTTCCACTCTCATCCATTCTCATTAACCAAGAGAACCGCATTCTCATTACCATTGCACTTTATTACTACCATCCTATCACGACTAGTGTCATTAAAACTCTTTCTACTATCAAAAGTGTTATTAGAACTGTGTCATCGAGAGACGCAAAGTTTCTTATTTTCAATTTCTCTTTTTATTATTACTTTTACACGTTCTCACACTTCAGTCTCGTTCATAGTCTTCTTTTCCTACGACACCCTCCGTTAATCGCATTGGCAGCACCTTCGTTTTATTATCCCAAAATAATACCGGATGTTCCAGACGATTTGTACACGAGTCTGATACAGGATCATTTCTTCTAATGACTTCATCCGAGACATTCATGATCGACAAGTTAGATGAGCCTTGTGGCCATCATCACCGACGACCGTCTTCTGTTACCATTTTGCCATTGAATAATGTTAGGCGTAATTTTACGTCCCGATGACTGCATACCCATATCCATATTCGTATATTCAAATATAACGACGACTCCCTAGACTTACCATCATACCATTTTCCCTAGTACCCCCTTGATGATCCACTTTGATTTTGTTCTTGTGCCGAAGTCACTCAGTACACACGAATCATTGACCTTTGATTATGAACCAATTGAGGTAAATGCACCAATGACTGCCCACGTGCCAGTTACTGTACAAAGCCTGTGCGCAAGACAGATGGAAGTAACGTTTCTTATGGATGGCCAGGAACTGGTACCGAACGTTAGGTGCCCAGCCACTGGGACGTTTGACTTGTATCGTAATTTTCAAAATTAATTTTTTTTTTCCTAACAATAAATTCAATATGAAATTCAGTTACTTTTAATTGACCTATTAAAGGTAATTTCCTTGATAAAATCGTTATCGCGTTGTAATCTCACCGATTATAATTAACCAAAAATTGTAAAGCGTATTCCTGAGTATCAAGAGTGACATCGACACGTTATCAGTTTCTGCTGTTTTTTTTTTTGTGTTACCAATACCGATATCTCATCCAAACAGTGAAAATTATTTATTATTCCTCGCTGAAGTTACTACACGATTAATCTCATAGTATTACGAAAGAAGGGGACAGCAGAGAATAAAAAAAAAGAAGTAATAATTGGATCGTATCCTAAGATCAAACGATCTCTCGCGCTCTCGCTTTTTCGTACTTTCTTCAAAGCTCCGCCGTGACGAGATGAATTTGTTTTCTGTTTTCGAAAAGAAGTTAGAAGTGTGTGTGTGTGAAAGGGGGG